CCGGCACCCCCGCCCAGCTCGGAGACCCCCGAGTTCGGACGGCCCCGACGGCCTGGATCCTGCTCGGTCCTCGGATTTGCCGTCCGCGGACCCAAACCCGGCTGTCGACACCGGCCCTTTGAAGTCGCTTTTAGGGAAGGTGCTCCAGCCGGAGGAGGGATGGAGGGCCCACTTGGGGGATGGGGCTGCGCCCAGCTCAGATACCTCCTCATGGGCCCGACTGGCAAACCCGCGGCCCATCCTCCCGTGTGAGAAGCCCTCTGAACCAAGAACCCTCTGAATCAGGGGCCTGAGCAGCACTGCGCCAGGGACGCAGACCCAAGACGACAGCAGGCAGCGCCAAGCATGGGAGTGGGCACAGAAAGGTCCTCAGACTAGTTTGTGGAGGCCAGTAAGGCTTCCTGGAAGAGGTGGTCCCTGACTTGTATCTGGAAGCAAGGTGTCCCTGCTTCCCCAGGACACTCAGGCCTTCTCTTGCTGCTTGCAGGCTCCTCAAAGGCCACCTCCCTGTCTGCACAGCCCCCTCCCCTCGTCCTTTGCCAGGAGCTTTGTTTCCCCAGGTCTCCTGAGAAAGGAGCAGCTGCAGCGGCTGGGGTCGTGGCTGTGCAGTGTGAAGGGAAGAAATATATGCAGCTCTTCACTTTGGGCCCTTCTCTCTCCAAGGTCTTCTCTCCATTCCCAACCATTATCCTCCGGGGATGTACTTGAACAGCCAATGCAGATGCCATGGCCCCACTGACCTCCCTCCGGTTCTCCGGGCCCTTCTGTCTGGCTACATCAGGGAGACACCGTTTACTTTTCCAGACCCTGTGGAGGCCTCTCATTTAGCCCAGATCCTTAACCTTATGTGTCCTTTTAGCCAAGCTGTGATAAGGACCCTGCTCTTGGGCTCCTCACAGGTGGTGGGATGAAATGAGTCCGCTGGGTCTCTGACAACCCCCAAAAAGGAGAACTGCTTGAGAGGCACAAACCTAGGGCAGTCCAAGGAAGGGAGTGGCCCTTCAGGGTAGAATGTGGGTGCCTCCGTGGGAGGCAAGATGCTGCTATCTCTTCACTGGGAGAGAAACAAGTGGTGTGTGGTAGCAGGGTGTATATGGGAGTGCATTTGGAGTGTGTGTGTGTGGGCGCATGTCTGAATCCATTAAAGCACCAGCCACTGTGCTGTTCTCCATCACTTCGTCATGGAGGAGGTTTCTGCTCAGCCCCATGCAGACTTAGACCACACGTGGAGAAAGGTGGAAGGGCCAGCAGGAGAGCTGGTCACTGCATGGTCTCTCTGATGTCTGTAGGCCAGAAGTTTCCCAGGACTTAAACCCTACTAAATGGGGTAGAGAGTGGGGGGCAGCCATCCCTTATCACTGGCTGTCCCGAGGGTTTGGTGTACAGCGTGGCTTGTGGTCAGAGGCCTGTCAGCCTGGCTCCAAGAGTCCTGGTGAATGTAAACCGTACAGACCTTTGCTGGGGAACGGGATCCTCAGGGGTCTGTGGAAGCTTCCGCTCAATGCATCCCAAAGTGAATTCCTGAAACTCCTCTTCATACTTTGCTTGCTTCCCCCAATTTTGCATCCCAAAGACTGCCCACACTCCTCGCCTCCATCCTGAAATTCCCTCATTACCCATTTACTTCTGTCCGGGAGAATGTGAAATGGTCCTTCTGAGTGTGACCTTCCTGGCCCCTGAGTCTCTGGGCAGTGTAATCCATCTCCAAAGGCTTCTGTCACAGGGTTGGAGGTGGAGGTGGGGTGGGGACTCTGGATGACTTTTTTAGAATCTGGTCCATAAACTTCCCCATTTTATCGTGCAGCGTTCTGGACAGATTGCAATGATGCAGGATCTGCATCCAGGCCAGTCATCCCTCACATGAGTTCATGATGACATCCCTGACTTAAGAGAACATCAGAGGCTCACTTCTGACTGTGCCTTCCCACAGGGGAGATGCCAGGTCAGGTTGTGTATCTGGAGTTTGGGGGTGGCCCTTCATAGGGGCCATACTGTGAACCCACTCGTAAGGTACACTGAGTTCTAGGCAGCAGGTCAGACAAGCTGCAGATTCTATGGCTTCTCCAACTCTCCTGAAAGTTCTTTAAGGAAGCCCTCAGATTTCCTTTCCCCCTGTAATGGCCTTGGTCCTGGGAGATTGCTGCATTGCTGAGACCCTATCGTGCTGGAATATCAAGTCATAAGGCAGTCACAGGGTCTGGAAGCCCTCTTCAAGGTGGGGATGTGTGGTGGCCAGGTCACACATCACCCCTGCCCTGGTGGCCTTCACGTATTTACTGCACATCCATCAGGTGTCTGTGCTGCTGGGAATAACCAGACTGCTTATTTCATGCATTCTTCTTCTCTGCATAAATATATATTGAGTGCTCAGGGCTGGGTCCAGGCGTCATCCATAAGGGCAGGGGCTGTGTCCGTCTTCTTTATTTATGTCTTTCCAGCACCACGCAGAGAACTTGGCACACAGAAGGCATTAAAAAACATTTGCTGTTAACAACACCACAGTTACAGGAATTATTATCTTAGCTTGCCCTTTGGACATGACCCAGAGAGAGGAAGGGAGGGCATGAGGGGGCTTAGGAAGGTGAAGAATTCTGCTTCTACTGCCTTCAAGGCCACACCCAGTGGCTCAGGGCACGATGCCCAGGCCTTCTCTATGCGGCCAGGTCTGTCCAAGGTCAGGAGAAGCCATGGTGCTCTTTCTTCAGTGGGCAGGCAGGGTTGGCAGGCTCCAGCAAGAGCAGACAACCTTGGGAATGTCGTTGGGCCTGAGCCTAGAATGAGAGGGAAGGATTTGGACAAGAACAACCTCAGGCTAAGGGCGAGGTCAACCTGGAGGACAATCCAGGAGAGTGCCCAGAATTGATGTAGCCCTGAGTGGGGAGGTGGCGTGGAGTAATGGGGCAGCCCATATTTGAGGATACCTTCCTGTGAGGCCGTGGGGGCTAGCCAGAGTGCTCAGCTGCTGACCTGCTCCTCCCTGGCCTAGTGGCCTCAGGTCTCTAGGTAGAGTCTGCTCCATTCCGGCTCAGCTCTTTGAGGCCCAGCCGCCTCTCCCCAGCCAAGAGCCTGGATTCCAAGGGAATCTAAAGCCTTGCTTGGGAGTTCCTTCTTCCTGGAATGCCCAGTCCACAGTACTGACCACTCCAGGGCCTCAGCAAACAGCCAGAGAGAACTTTAGATGCCCCCATTTCAGTGTGACCTGTCTGGTCCAGCTTCACCCAGGTGTCCGCTCTCCTAGAAGCCTGCTGGTCAAGGCCAGGAACCCAAATGGTGGAGAGGAAGCAGTCTGTGGTGGGCAGAGCTGGATAGAGGGGCAGTGTGGGTCTCCTGCAGAGTTGGAACTGTGCCTTAAAGTTACAGGAAGTTAAGGCAGGCCCATCGTAGGCAGGGGTCAGGGGCTCTGCAAGGGGTAGAGGCAGCCAGGGGCATGGGCACCAGGCAACATCCAAAAGGAAGGTCTAGGACAGTACAGCCTGTGAGGTGAGCTGAGAGCTGATGCCCAGCATATCCTGGAAGGACAGGACTCAGTCAGGAGGCAACAAAACTGGTCTTGGAGCTGTGGTTGGTTCAGCAGAACACAAAGTGGAGGGCATGCCTGTGGCAAAGGGTGTTTCCCAGCTCTAGTTCTGTGCCATTCAATCCTTTAACAAACACTTATTGAGTGCCTGCTATATGTCCAGCCCAGATGTGGTCAACTAACCTGGGGGTGTGGTGGGGATTCTCCAAGCTGCCACACCTCTCTAGGGGCTGAGATGCTGGAGGCTCCAGAGGGCGTCAGTCCCCAAGGATCCAAACAGGGACAAAGCTGACTCTGCCAGCTGGGACCCAGTTACTGGCTCTGAGCCAGATTCCAGGGCGGATACAAGAGCAGAACCAGCTTTCTTCAGCAAACTGATCCTGGGGGAGGTGTGTGACCACCACACGCTCACACAGTTTCAAGTGGTAGGTCTGGAGTTTTAGACCCTGTGTTGGTGCCTTTGTGCCATGTGCCTTGCCCCAGGGACAGATGTGTCTCAGCCGGACCTGCAGTCCCCATCAGCACCCCTGTCAGACCTGCTCTGTCTCTGTTTTCACAGAGAAAACCAGTCTGCTCTGGGACCCAACAAAGGGGCTGCCAGGCAGCAGGGCGGGGACAGGTTTACCTAGCTGGGCCCAGAGAGGCACCGGCCCTGAGGCCTGGGTGTAGAAGGGTATTGGGAGGAGTGGCATCTCGCACGGTGGCAGGGGTGGGGGGATGAGGAGGGTGGGGAGGCAGCTGACAGGTGGGAGAGCCAGAGGCAGCTCAGCCCAGCCCCAGCAGGGAAGTGACAGAACAGGCTGTTTGTGGTGGCAGCAAGGCCCATGTGATGGAGCCTTGTGCAACTGGGGCCTCAGGAAGGCAGCTTGCAAAAGCAGCCTCACCCCTGCTTCAAGGAGACCCCCATCCTTTCACCCCTCCCACTTCTCATTCAGGCCAGAGGATTCGGGCAGGCTGCCTGCCATACCCCAGTCTCCCCCAGCATCAGATGTCCCAAGTCTACCTGTAGTCCATAAATAGAGGCCCGACCCAGGTGTATTCAGGTTTCCAGTTTCTCCTGACAGCTGGAGTCTTCCCTTAGCCTCGCCTCTTGGTGTCTGTGAGGAGAAGAGCCTCCATCTGTGAATCAGCTCCTCCAGGCGGAGCAGCAGAGGGATCGCGGAGTAACTGTACTGTGTGCTCATTCTACGCCCTGGACGTAGAATGTCTTGGTCATGGCCTGACCATCACTGTGCCTGGACAAAAGCAGGGGTGTAAAACCCTTTCCTTCTCAGCCCGAGAGAGAGAGACACTGCTATGAGGTGCAGGTAAGGCTCGAGCAAAAGTGCAGGGATGACAAGAAGGAGATGGACATAGATGCAGCCCAGAAATTCAGTTACTGTCACTCATCTGTCAGCTGGGACCTGGACTCATGGCCCAGCTTTAGCCCTGCCCCAGCGCACACATCCACAGACACTCACACTCCAATTTAGCAGTGACCTGGCCAGGACAGTCTGGTCTCTGGCCTGAGGCCCCTCCTTCTCTTTTTGACCACAAGAACTGACATCCAGGGCTACTCAGAGGGCAGAAGAGGCCCACACTACTTCCATATTTCTTCCTCCCATCCTTTTTTTTTTTTTTTTAATACCAGCTAGAATGAGCTTGGAGCACTTTCATATTTCTAGATTCCCAGTAAAATAAAAAAGGAAGAAATGTGAGAATAGTGTTTCAAGAATTATGGCAT